CGGTCCTTACAAATATATTATTCATTGTTAATCTGTATAGCGATACATTTATATACTTGTTGCACGGGGCACATCTAAGATCATCGCTTAGTTGTAGCAAATGCTTAATAAATTATACTAGCTACTGTATCAAAATTTATTTTGTTTCTCTTTTCTTCTCCATCATAATTCAAAGCCGTCTCTTCTTTGGTGTTCTGAAACTTTTTGAAAAGTACTATACATTATATGTTGTTTGAATGAGTGAATGTCTTTGTGTGTCTGAGTGTGTGTGTGTGTGTTTATGTGTACGTATGTATGTGTATATATTTATGTGTACGTATATATCAACAAAACAATTTATCCTCCTCCACCTACGTTAATACTAGTTTGCTAATAAAAATTAAACCAAAAGCAAAAGCTAAGCTAAGAGCAAAAAAATTTGTATTTATATGTATGTATACATTTTTCAAAAAAGAAAAAATAGAAAAAATACATAGGTACAGTGAAAACAACATTTATTGTTTTACATCATCAAATGTAACACCATCATTTTGAACAAATCAACTGGATATCACCCAACTCCAAATTTTAACCCACTAAATAATTGCATGAAATTTTTTTTTCAAATTCAAATAATAACTATTTATCCGGAATCATAAAAAATATCTAATCAATTTTTTTTCAAAGTTCTTTGGAATACCGTTTAATTGTTGTTTTCTTTTTTTTTTAGCTGATTAATGTTACAGTCAAATGCTATAGACAACGATATTTAGGACTAATAACTTTATTGGATGATCACGGTGATACACATCGTTACTTCTTTTTTTTCTTCGTTCTGCTCGTTATTTACTGAGGTATCAGTAAAATTGTAGCAGTCTAACTATTCGTTCTACATTTAGAAAATGAAAAAAAAAGTCTGTTCTTTGTTCGTTCATTTTTTTCTGGCTTTATTTTGTCGTTTATGTGTATCATCGTCAACACCAATAGACCAGACAAATTTGATCCGAGGCCGTCTGCTCGACCACTCAAAGGCTGTATAACGATAGCTGTCTAATGATATTTAGACAAAGTCTAAACTATAAACGCAAATATTTATGCAGGAATTTGTAGACGATTTGTGGTAGCCAGAAGCAAAATAAAAAAAAACTTAAGGATCAATACCAAAAAAAAAATGGTTCTTATCTTTTAAGGGAAAGGAAAAAGGCAACAGTTACAACCATCGATAGAAATAGAAAAAAACGTGAGGACTTCCCAGGTGTGCAGTATGTCTAAAATAGTTTTATTCTATTATATCATTTTAATTTAATTTAAATAAATAGTTGATCAGAATCTTGAGTGAAGAAAACTGATAGGTTTACATGAAGGTAGAGAAGACGAAGATGATGATAGGAACGACGAAAATAAAGAAGATGGTGCAAGAAAACTTAAGTTTGCACTAAAAACAATCAGAAAATAGAAAAATAAATGCCTTAAGCTACATGAACTAAACCTAAAGCTAAAGCTAAAAACTAAACTAAATAATCAACCAACCAAGTAACCAACTAACTAGCCCACCAAACAGATAACTAACCAACTAGCTAACTAACTAACTGGACAGGCTCTTTAAAAATGATGGAATGATCTTACTACATAACATACACCCAACACTTGCCGCCCCTCTTCTTGGAGTTCAATAGCTGCTTAAGCAAAAAAAAATTATGTACTAATGGTATAATGGGGAAGACATTTCATTTAACAGGGTTTTTCCGACAACGATGGAAAGACAGAAAATCTCTTACTCCTTCACTGCCTGAGCCTCCCCCATTCCCCTTCCTTCTCTCTCTACGCGCCTCCTCGCTCGTCCTATCCTTCTTTTTTGCTGTTTTCATATCTTTATTCCAAAATGAAAATTATTTATGATATAGTTGGTGCAATATGACGAAGAGTACAAAATATTTAGAGCAAAAACAAAAATTTTTGTCTTACGACTTCTTTTTCTTTTTTTTTTTCCTCTTTTACTTGGCTTTTTTTTCAACTCTAATTAATCTGTTGACGAAAACAACAAAAAGAGATAAAGAGGAAAAATGGACCTTGAAAAAAAAAAAGGAGCTTAAAATCAACGAACATTTGCTAGTTTTTTTTATAGTTCAAAAACAAATTTTGAATGGACAAACAATTGCTTCTTTTTCCATCTTCATCCAACTTTTTTTGTTTTTGCGCTTCCTAGTTATCAATTTTTTTTTTGTTTTCTTTACTGTTTTGCTGCTATTTATTGCAGTCGTTGCTGTTATTTAAGTCTACTATCGGTGTATCAAAAAATTTAAAAACGGCAACAATAGGAAGGTAGAAGAAGCAGAAGAAGAAGAAGAAGAAGCAGTCCCAACAACATATAGTAAGAACATCAAGGAGCCAACAATTTTGAAAGCACTTTGATTGGCCGATGTCTATTTTTTTATTTTGTTAGTCACCGATGACAATATATCAACATAATTGGATTTGTTTTTTTTTTTTTTTCAAATATATATATTTTTTTTATCAAAGAAAAAACTACTGGTTTATTCCGTTTTTTTTTCTGTGGTTTTTTCAAAACAAAAATATAAATTTTCACGTTTTAGGAAACCGAAAACCTTGCAAAAGTTACGAGAAATAAAAGAGTATAAGCAGAGCAAGAAAGAAAGAAAATTTGAAAAAAAAAAAGAAAATAAGAAAATAAAGTAAATTCCCAGGAAAGAAAAAAAATCTTTAGATTGACATCCTTCTGTAAATTGAAGAGCGGTAACTAAATGCTTGTGCTCTAAACTCGGGGCAAAAATGAGCATTTAAAGTTTCAAGAATGAAGGCTAAAATTAAACAACGAAAAACAGCAGCAGCAACAACAACAACAACAGCAAAAAACAGATGTGTCAAAAAAAACAAAATTAAGAATCAAAAGAATGCAAAAGAAAAAAATGCTTCTTAAAATGCTTTTCTGTTTTTTTTTCAAGTCATTAAAAAATCAGAAAGAAAAAACAACAGCAAAACTGCTTCCGATTCCTGAAGATGTGATCTTTCTCCTTTTTTTTCTTTGCAACTATTAA